ATGTTAATGTTCGTGAACCTCAGAATTCCAGAAAGTTCATTCCCAAAGCAGGAGTCTTCATTCAGCTTTCAGTCAATTCAGAAGCAAAAACTACGTTACTTTGATAAAGTACAATTTCTGGCGTCCTAAGCCGCACAAAGTTCAAATTAACAAAATGTAAGGAAAAATTAGTTCAATGAAGTACGTGTATATAATGGCCGGTCACGTTAGCCGAGCGGTCTAAGGCATGCACTGTCTTCGCTCGCTCGGAAGCCGGGATCGTGGGTTCGAATCCCACTCGGGGTATGGATGTTTGTGTGAGTTTTTCTGTGTTTGTGTACAGGTAGAGGCCTTGCGACGAGCTGGTCACCCGCCCAAGGAGTCCTACCATATGTCCAAGATCTAGTAAAACCGAAGTGAACCGAGAGTTTCATGGAGGTAGGCCTAGGCCCAAATGAGGGCTGTAGCGCCAATGAAAAAAAAGTATATAATGTTCAGTGTTATCAAAGAGTTAATAAATAATTTTTTTTCTGTGGCGCTACAGCCCCAATTTGGGCCTAGGCCTACCTCTATGAAATTTTCCGTTTCACTTCGGTTTACTAGATCTTACACATTCGGTAGGACTCCTTGGGCGAGTGATCAGCTCGTCGCAAGGCCTCTACCTGTAGACAAACACAGAAAAACGCACACAAACATCCTTGCCCTGAGTGGGATTCGAACCCACGATCCCGGCTTCCGAGCGAGCGAAGACAGTGCATGCCTTAGACCGCTCGGCTACCGTGACCGGCTAATAAATAATTAGTGGAAGTGAAAAAATATTGCAATGGTGTACGTAACAATAACATAAGGATCTTCCAGCCCTGCCCGAGCCAGGCCTGTATGACACTGGATAAGAACTCATATCTACCACTACTGATCAGAACCCAGCTACTCCCGACTTTTCCCTACTTGCGAGACCTTAGAAACTGTAGGTAAAGTGAACACTTGACTACTAGCTCCAGTAACCACAATTCACTTTCCGTCCCACGTAACTTCTCGACATCCACGAGACGGGGAAGAAGTGCGGTGTAAAAACACTTAGGCGCCCAGGAACAGGGAGGAAGTGAGCAGCAGCGTACGGAACGCAAGGGCAGTTACAACTAATCGGACAACGGAAAGGACCAAAGACAGTCATAATGTGGCGTCACAAAGTAAGATATTTAAAAGTGGTTCCCAACACGTGGGGAAGACTATTACATACGGGGGGCACAACACGTGGGTCTATTACAAGTGACATCCAAAATCCAGGCATAAGAAAGTTTCAAATGACAGGACATGAAACAGATGAACTTTCAGGAAACGAAAGACAATTGTGACTATCTGCGAAAAATTAAAAAAAAAAAATGTATTCATAATGGAGGGGGCACGCGGTAGCGCAGTTAGTTGAGGCACTATGTTACAAGCCAGAAGGTCACGGGTTCGAGTCCCGATGAGGTGGATTCTTTCAATTGACCTAATCCTTCCACTCGCACTATGGCCCTGGGGTCGACTCAGCCTCTAACAGAAATGAGTACCAGGAATCTTCCTGAGATGGGGGATAAAGAGCGGCTGACGCGTAAGGCTAACACTCTTACCGCCATCTGTGAGCCGACTGTCAAGAGAAAATGTGGGAGCCTCGATGTCTTACAATCCTGTGGGCCTTCACGGCCTGTTACAGGGATAGATTTTTTTCTATAATGCAGGAAGATAAATTAACAAAGTTAATGGTGTATGGACAAGTACCATTAGCAAAGGAGATATAGGCTGTTCCAGAAGAAGACTTATAGTGCAAGAATAAGAAAAAGTCACTGAAGATGTACCAGTTAAAGTAGGGCGCGTATTTGTGTCGATCTGCATAACCACTGGAGCAGACTCGACATTCGACTGATCGAGATAAGAACCAAACTTACGAATCAGAGAACCGCGCAAATGATAGCACAACCCAGATACTGGGGTGAGCAGTCTGGTCACAAGTGGGGCAGGTCAGAATAATTAATGTCAAGGCCATGTCACGAAGTACTAATGGTGTCACAGATAATAAGTGGTCCGATGTGCAGTTTGTGGGAGAACTTCTTACTTCAATTTAAAATCTGCCTGAACGTCAGGGTAACAAAAGTGAACACCAAACTATCTACCCCAGTGCCATTTTGCCCACCACAAATTTAAGCCAGGCTCGAACCCAGGCCGCCGCGGTGGAAAGCTGGCGACTAACCCCCTGAACTATGGCACAGCCTTCTATGGACTTAGATTGGCTCTTTCGTTCCGCGCAACTGCATGTTCTGTCTCTATAATATAGTTCTTCGGGAATGGTATTTCGCAGTTCAGTACGTACATTCGTACGGACTTAAACGTGGCTACAAGAACACGGCTCCATAGTGCCAGACCCAGTTCAGCCCCTTTCCTTCGAAGGATCATTAAGAGGATTTATGTCTGTGTTTACTGAGCAAATTGCGCATTGACCGTCATAGTTTTGCGGTGCACTCATTAATTTGTCATTAATTTCTGATTCACTGTATCACTTAGGCATATACGTATTTATGTCATTAAATGCCTGAGGTTACTAATGAAGTTAAATTATTTATCGTTACATATTAATTCAATGGCTGCAGAAGCCAATTACAGGATTAGTAAAATCAAACAAATACATGAATACAAGATATTCTCCTGCTTAGTAGATGCAGGACAAGCGTAGGTATGTAAGATTTGAGGCTTTCACGGAGGTGACTATGAAGAAAGCAGTCTTCTGGGATTTGGCACCGTGTATATGTGGTGTTAACCGACGTTTCGGACGAACGTATCGCCACCATCTNACTGAAATTAACACAATACTCAGATTAACCATTGACAAATAAACCTGAAGAAGGTCTGTCGGCGATTAAAATCTAAAAGTTTGTGACGATGGTATACTGCTATAAGTATTATGTTTTTGGAAATTACTCATCGTCTTATCTAATTTTTTTTTCTGTCGGCCATATTGAAGTTTCAGTGAGCAGAGGAATATCCTACACGAAATAAGAAAACGGAAGGCTAATTGGATTGGTCATGTTTTACGCAGAAACTGCCTTCTAAAAGAAGTTATTGAAGGAAAGCTAGAGGGGCGGATAGAAGTGACAAGAAGACGAGGAAGAAGACGTAAGAAGAT